TTTTTAACATTAAAATTAAAACAGTTTTTTTTAAAAATTAAGACTAAAACAATTTTTTTTAAAATTAAGACTAAAAACATTTTTCAAAGATTAAAATTAAAGTTTTTTTAAATACTAAAATTAAATTAAGGTCCCTTTTCAAAATCACTGATAAATATTCCAATTGCATTTTGTCTTTCAATATTAACTGTTTTCATCATTGATCATATTTCTGTCTAACTTCTACTAATGTTCTCCATTTTTTCCGCGGATTAAGCTTAATTTTGATTATTATATTTGTATCTGTTCATGGGATGTAATTTTTGCGAGACAATTGTCGCATTTATCTTTCCGCACTTTATGTTCTGCCATTGTATGTTTATTTAATTTCCTCGCATCTTTACCGATAATTTCACTCCTCCGAAAGAATTAGGTCTAGCCGTTTGACCGCCGTGTCAATAGTCCTCACCTTCAACCCTTTCACCTTTTCAACCCTAATTTTCATAAATGTCTCGCCGTGGACAAAATTACCCTTTTACCCTAGCATTAGGTCAAGGAGTTGCCGCACTCCATTTTTAGGGTTGCCCGCCGTGGAATCCTTAATTTAACCCTAATTCAATCAACTATTTCAATGTAGAGATCGGAGTTTAGGACTCCACGTAAGCGTGCCCTTAAGATGCGTTTATTCCTATTGAGACCTTGACCACATTCAAGAAGTCTCTAACCTCCCTTTTGAGGAGAACTACAGATACTCTGATTCCATTCCCGTCAGGATATGTAGGCACAAGATGCGACGTCTTGGCGAGTATACTTAGGACTAATCCCTTAGGTCTTTCTATTTTACCTTTAACCCTTAACATTACCCTTAAGCAGATAACTTGGCAATAAACAACATAAAACAAGAGGTTCCTGTAGAGTACTACAGAAACTTAGGATGCTAGTATCTTCCCTAAGTTTAACCGACCCCCGAACCTAAACTCTCTAAACCTTGCATTTGCATTGCATTGTGGGAATTTCGATCTTTATCCATTCCTTTGGACAAATCAAAGACCGGTTGCAAATGAATAAAGATTCAAGTTAATCAATATCTTGATATCTAAATTTCACCACGACACATATCTTATCAAGAGAAAGGATGAGGTATTCGGAGTGTTCAAGAGTTTCAAATCCATGGTGGAGCGTCAAAGCGGTCGGAAGCTCAAAATTCTCAAAACGGATGGTGGAGGTGAATATACTTATAGTGAGTTTGGCAAGTTTTGTGATCTTGAGGGTATTGTGCGTGAGGTAGTGCCTCCATATACGCCTCAACAAAATGGGGCTGCCGAGAGGAGAAATCGTACAATAATGAACATGGTGCATATTATTCTTTGTGGGAAGAAGTTACCTAAAGAGTTGTGGGGTGAGGCCGTGTCTACAGCCACCTACTTGTTGAATAGGTGTTCTACTAAGAAGCTGAAGAAGATTACACCAGAAGAGGTTTCGAGTGGTTTCAAACCAAGTGTGAATTACTTGCGCATTTTTGGATCGATTTCATATCGTCATGTACCAAATCAACTTAGAAAAAAGTTAGACGATAAAGGTGAAAAGTTGATATTTGTTGGATATCACTCTACTGAAGGTTACAAGCTATTTGATGAGAGGAGTCGGAAAATCGTGATAACCCGGGATGTGCAGTTTGATGAAATAAAAACTGCTGAAACAACAGGTGTAATCGATTACGCCAATGCTGCTAACTGATTACAGCCTGCTAAACAACAGCAGTTTGTTGATTTGTTTGATCCGAAGAGTTCCGATACTGCTGTTCCTGTACCTACAGTAGTTGACAATGATGTTGTGAATAATGGTAGACTAGTGAGGCAAAGATCCTTGCCTCATAGATTGTGAGATTGTGAGAGGTTCCAAGATAACGAAGTGAATAGTGATGGTGATCTTATTCATTTTGCACTTATGACCGAATCTGAACCGGTAAATGAGGAGGAAGCCTTAAGTGATCCTAAATGGATATGTGCAATGAAAGAGGAGCTGGAAACTATTGAGAAAAATGGTACTTGGGAGTTGGTCGATTTACCACATGAAAAGAAACCGATTGGTGTGCGATGGGTCTATCAAGTCAAAGCAAATCCTAAAGGTGAAATAATCAAGCACAAAGCTAGATTAGTGGCGAAAGGGTTCTTGCAACATGAAGGTATAGACTATGAGGAGGTATTTGCACCGGTGGCTAGATTGGAGACTATTTGTTTGGTTGTTGGGATTGTGCATAACAACAATTGGGTGATATATCAAATGGATGTGAAAAATCTGTGTTTTTGAATGGTCCTCTTGATGAGGAGGTTTATGTGGGGCAGCCACTCGGTTTCGTGATAAAAAATCAAGAGAGGAGGTAATACAAGCTACACAAAGCGTTGTACGGTTTGAAACAAGCTCCAAGAGCTTGGAAAAAACGCATAGACGGCTTTCTTATTGACATTGGTTTTAAACGGTATGTATCCGAACATGGTGTTTATGTCAGGTCGGATACTATTGATGGTATTATCATACTATGCTTGTATGTTGATGATCTCTTGATTACGGGCAGCAATGACAAGAGTATTTCAAAGTTCAAAGTGGAGCTTATGAGTGAGTTTGAGATGACAGACCTTGGTGTCATGAGATACTTTCTTGGCATAGAGTTCCACAAGTCAAAAGTGGGGTTGCTTATGCATCAAAGAAGGTATACTCTAGATATCTTGAAAAAGTGTGAAATGGAGCATTGTAATGCTTCTAATACACCTTGTGAGGCTAGAGTTTAGCTGTCCAAAAGTGATGATGAGGATGATGTGTATCCAACACTTTACTAGAGTTTGATTGGATCATTACGGTATTTGTGCAATACTCGACCGGACTTGGTTTTTAGTGTCGGTATTGCGAGTAGATTCATGGAGAGACCTAAGGTGTCTCATTTGGCGGCGGTCAAGAGAATCCTTAGATATGTGAAAGGTACTCTTGGTTGTGGTATTTTGTTTCCCACATCGGATATGGGTCGCAAATGTACTTTACTTGGCTACACCGATTCTAATTGGTGCAGAGATAAAGATGATCAGAAATCTACGGCGGGTTACATCTTTATGTTCGGTAGTACACCAATCTCATGGTGTTCGAAGAAGGAACCAGTTGTAGCACTCTCTTCTTGTGAGGCCGAGTACATTGCGGCACCATTGAGTGCTTGCCAAGCTATGTGGTTAGTGAATCTCATGAAGGAATTGGGATATGGTGATGAAGATGCCACCACACTGTTTGTGGATAATGTTTCCGCGATAAATCTTGCGAAGAATCCGATTGCACACGGAAGAAGCAAGCATATTGAGATGCAGTTTCATTACTTGAGAGAATTGGTCGGTGATGGAAAACTTAGATTGAGCTATTGCCAAAGCGAGGACCAAGTTGCGGATTTGTTGACCAAGGGTGTGACAAATGAGGTGTTTAAGAGACTGTTGAAGAACTTGAGCATGATGAATTTGGAGCAACTAAAGTGAGGTGGTGTGTTGTGAGTTGTTTTTTTTCCAAAAATAACAGAATTTAACAGCATGACACTTTAGTTGTATATTGTATTAGTTGTGCTATTCTCTCATGTGTATATATACATTGTTGTAATCCCAATTCACAGTTAATGTCAATTTAGTGATTCATCCAATATTACTCTCTTCCCTATTCTCTCTTCTCTCAATTCATCTTCTTTCTAAGTTTCTTTTCACCATTGTTACTACCTTCAAAATTCTGATTTTATGTTTTTATGTTGTTCTAACAGTATGTAGCTCACTATTTAGATTTTATAGCGAATATAACATAAGGTGGGAAAAACAATGCCATTCGTGTCTTACGACCACAATATACAAACAAAAGAAAAACAAGTTTTATGAATACCAAGTTTAAACAAGTCTTAGATGTCTTTTGAACAGTAAGGTCACTACAAAAATATTATTGTTATAAACGGATACACCTTTATTTTTAATTCAAATTTTTTAATATACAAAAAAAAATACTATTGTTATAAACAGACACAACTTAAGTTTGATTCAAATTTTGTTATATACAAAAAAAATAAAATACTATTGTTATAAACGATCACAACTTTAATTTTGATTCAAATTATTTTATATACGAAAAAAATAGTATTATTATAACTGGGCACAACTATAATCTTAATTCAAATTATTTTATATACGAAAAAATTACTATTCTTATAAATGGACACACCTTTATTTTTTATTCAAAATTTTTGATTTACGAAAAAAATACTATTGTTATAAACAACACAACTTTAATTTTGATTCAAATTTTGTTATATACGAAAAAAATACTATTGTTATAAACGGGCAAAATTTTAATTTTGATTCAATTTTTTTTATATAAGATAAAATATTATTGTTATAAACAGGGACAACTATAATTTTGATTCAGATATTTTTAATATACGAAAAAAATACTATTGTTATAAACGGATACAACTTTAATATTAATTCAAATTTTTTTATATACGAAAAAAATACTATTGTTATAAACGGGCACAACTTTAATTTTGATTTAAATTTATTTATATACGAAAAAAATACTATTGTTATTAATTTTTATTCAAATTTTTTTATATACGAAAAAAATACTATTGTTATAAATGAACACAATTTTAATTTTGATTCAAATTTTTTTTATACAAGATAAAATACTACTATTATAAACGGAAATAACTATAATTTTGATTCATATATTTTTATATAAAAAAAAATTATATTATTATAAACGGGCATAATTTTAATTTTAATTCAATTTTTTTATATACAAAAATAATTCTATTATTATAAATGGACACATTAGTTATTAGTTATGACACATTAGTTATTAGTTATGTTATTAAAAAAAATTTAAAATTCTAGAAAGAAAAAACAACGAAAAGTAACCAAAACCCCACATTTGAGTCTCTCTTTACTAAACCCTGATAACAAAAACAGAGATCCTCATCTCGTTTTTGTCCTAAGGTTTTATCCCCAATGGTAACCGTTTCGCTTCTGCATAATCTAAACCTCATCAACCCTTTCTCCCACCAAAACCCTATTTTCTCCCACCAAAACCCTATTTCTTCACTCTCTTTCAAACCTTCAATTCTCCGCTGTTCAAATTCCGCTAATGTTCCCGCTCCTTCTCCGTATCCTCCCATTCGCACCAGTCACCGCACAAAAATCGAAGCGCAACTTGCCCTACGCGATTACCTTTACTACACTCGATCTTACACTTTCATCGACGCAGATTTCATCGCAAAAAACTCTCCACATTTCATCCGTGAACTTATCACCGGAGTCACATTCAACAACAGTGACGATGATTTTTCTCGGGATCTCGAAAGGTACCTTATGTATAACCCTATTAATGAATTTGAACCGTTTTTAGAGAGTATAGGGATTAAACACCGTGAATTGAAGTTATTTTTGCCTGAAGACTTGATTTTTCTGAGTGATGATAGTGTTTTGGTTGATAATTTTCATGTTTTGTTTAACCTCGGGGTTCCGAGGAATAGAATGGGGAAAATTTATAAAGAAGCAAGAGAGGTTTTTGGGTATGAGAGTGGAGTTTTGTTGAAGAAATTTGAAAAGTATGAGAATTTGGGTTTGAGTAAATCATCTCTTGTCAAGCTGTTTGTTTGTTGTCCGTTGCTTTTACTCGGCGACGACGTTGATCCTCAATTTGTTGTTGTTCTCGATTGGTTGAAAAGAAGTGGGATTGAAAGCGAATGGTTTGTGAGTTGTATGTGTCCTTCAAGAACATATATATGGAAAACGATTATTGATACTATAGAGTTTTTTCATCAAGGGGGATTTTCTGAGAAAGAAATGTATGATTTGTTTAAGGCGAATCCTATATTGTTGGAGGGTTTAGGAAAGAAGACATATTCGGTTATAGGTCGGTTGATTAAGTCGGGTCTTGACGTGAATGAGGTTTGTTCTTGTTTCAAAGAGCATCCTGATGTATTGTCATTTCCGCGTATGGAAAATTTGTCGACTGTGATTTCTTTTATGTATCATATTCGAATGGATGAAGATGCTATTGCTCATGTTTTGTATAACTACATGCATCTCCTTAGCAAACATTTGATAAAAGGTCATAAAGCTATGTCTAGAGAGTTACGAGTGGGAACGGATAATTTATGTCAAATGATACATGATGATCCATTACAATTTTTTAGTTTGGCTTTAAAACCGAAACAGAAGAGAGATGTAAATGAATTCTACTATGACCCGCGGAAGCATATGGAGAAAAGAACTTTCTTGCGGAATCTGGGGTATACCGATAACTCCGAGGAGATGGAAATAGCTATGAAGATGTTTAAAGGGAATGGTACTAAGTTACTAGAAAGATTTGATTGCTTGGTTGAAGCTGGTTTGGAATATAACACCGTAGTTGGAATGGTAAAGCGACTTCCTGGAATTCTAAACAGTAGTAAAACTGTAATGCAAAAAAAGATTGATTTCTTAAAAAACTCATTAGGTTACCCAATAGAAAGTCTTGCGGAATATCCAACATATTTTTTGCATGATTTGGATAAAATTTTTGCAAGATTTGCAATGTATGAGTGGTTGAAGAAGAGGAGTGCAATAAATTGTGAGTTATCCTTGAGTACCATAATTTCAACTACTGAGAAACGGTTTCTAGAACACTTTGTGAATGCTCATCCTGAAGGGCCAGCGGCTTGGGAGACTATAAATAGTTTATCTAACAAATTTAAGAATTAACCACTGCTTATAAGTTAAGTTGAGATGTACATACAGGCTTTGGCTAAACCTTGCACTTACTTTTAAGAAATGTTTTTGGTGCTTGCTGATATTGTCTCTATTATTATTATTATTATTTTGTTTTAAGTTTCATTTCCACATGTTGCTTATGGTCTTTGCTGCAATATTTACTTATTAACCAGCCAATAAACTATGAATTAAATAATGTATAGTCTTTGCTGCAACATTTGCTTGTTGCTTTGATAACAAAGGTCGCCAATGAAGTGCAAGATGGGCTTATAAAAGCTCTGTTTACGATGGCTGCCAATGCAGGTATGTCGATGCTTTCCCTGTACAGTGGCAAATACCAAGGGCAATCTATAATAACTAGAACAAGAAATATGGTTGAGAGTAGATTTAACAGTAACAAGCCAAAAACCATGTGATTTTGTTTTCATGAAGACATTTTAACATGGACAGCTAATGTTATATTCCCGTTCATTCCAAAGGCAATAGAGGTTTAATGCACTTTTATGGCTTTATGATATCATTTTGTATTTTAATTGTTTTTTTTTAATAAATATAATGAGTATTTGTTTTTTTTTTTCTAATACAATATAACAAACAAATTCTATTCCATGGCAAGTAGGGCTGACAATGAACCAAACCAACTCGAAAATAGTTCGTAACTCGATTCGACAATTAAATCGTTGAACTAGGTTCATGAACCAAATGAGTTGAGTATGAGCGAAAAATTAAGTTCGTTAACTAAATGAGCTGAACTTGAACTATACATAGTTCGACTCGTTAGGTTCATGAGTCAACTCGATTACATATGAGAAGAATTATACTGTCTTTAAGATTAGGTTTAAATATTTATTCCAAATCTTAGACAAATTTAATCTTCAATTTAGTAGTTTTTGAATTAGACTCTCAAATGTATCTCTTGAAAGTTGTGTAGGTTTTGAATTAGTAGGTTTCGAAGATAAAGTTAAATTTCAATATGATAGCTTTTATTTTATTTTAATATTTTATTTTTAAAATATATATTTATTTAAAATGCAAAATATACTAAAAAATATATATATTTAAAAAAATAGTTTTTAAGTCCGTGAATCATGTGAGCTGAACCTAATGAGATGAACCTAACGAGTTGAGCCGAACTGTTCGTGAACTTCTAACGAGTCGAGTTTGAGCTTAAAAAGGAGTTCGTGTTGAACTCGAACTCGAATTCGACCAATTCTTAACGAGTTGAGCTGAGCTGAGGTGAGTTCGACTCGACTCGACTCATTTCCAGCCCTAATGGCAAACAACTAAGTGAAGAACAATTGATATATTTCAGTGATGAGCAATAACATTTGCTGCAACCAAGATATATGTTGTTGTTTGCGGAACAATTGCACCTTCTCCATGGCTATTGCATTTTCAGCAACTAAGATATATGCTGTTAAATGCATATGTAACAAGAATAAGACATGGTTATTGAGTAAGCAATATAATAGAATGTGTTTATAAAGCTCAATATGCGGAAATTTTTTAATTTTAATGAGTTGATTTCTAAAAAAATACTAATGGCTTAATTGTAACTATGATCTTCTTATTTTGTATTTTTACGATTGGTCCTTTTTTTATGTTTTGAGTTTGATTTTAGTCTGATTTTAGTCTCCTCTCTAATTTTAATTTTTTTTAATGATGTGACACTATCTAAGATGATGTGTAATGATGTGACACTATCTAAGATGATGTGTCTCCCAGGTTATTTTTAAAATATTAATTTAAGACTTTTTTTATTGAGTAGGATAATTAACTTATTAATATTATTTTAATCAATTAAATAATGATTAATATTTTATTATTAATTTTTATAATTAATTAATTAATCAAAATTTTAAATGAAATTCTTTGAGCCTTTAGTTATTGATCCATCTTTCTAATCCACAATTGAATTGAAATCAATGTGGGACTTCTAAAAGACATTTTATACTACAACATTATCTCATTCTTCTCAAACTTGTGTCCATTGTAATAACTATGTTTCATGGTAAAATTTGAAACCACAAGTGCCATTAAATTTTGGCATATGGAATTTGCCATTTCTACCTTAGAGAGCATTAACGTGAAAGCATGAGAGCTTGCCGAAGCTAGATGCAAACATATATATATATATATATATATATATATATATATATATATATATATATATATATATATATATATATATATAAGGAAACTTTAGTATAGAGTGAATTGCAAATAGCAATCATCACAATTTTTTTACAGATCCAACGAGAAATACATAAAACAGAAATAAATCTTATCATGATAAACCCGCTGAATTCTCTGTCAAACCATCCTTTCTTGTTTAGAATCTTTTTTTCTCCATCCACCAAACCATCCTTTCTTTTCCTTTTTATTTTCTCCGCTAGTGCTGTCGCTCTCGTCTTCAATAGGAATATCCCTAAAGCTTTGACGATATGGAATGATCACCTCATCACTATCATTGTTCTGTTCTGATGAATCCAATTTAAGTGCATCCTCCAACTGTCTTCTTTCATCTTCAGTCAAAATATCATTAAGTTCTTCATTCTCGGTTTCATTTCCATTGCAAGTCGAGAATAACTCGTCGTCTGTCATAGCTCCTGGAACTCCTCTAGATTTTATACTGACAACAACATTGTGCATATCGTACACCTTAGCTTTCCAAGGTCCTACCATTTCTGTTTTCTCCTGCCGCCTCTAAGTCAATTGAGGCAGAAGAACTGCTTGAGTAACATCAATCCCGGGCCTAAATATATTTGTTTTAGACGTTGCAGCCACTTCCTGCTGAACTTCTTCATCGTTTGCCGCAAAGGCCGCATCGTCTAGAGCATTCAGTACCTCTCTTTCCTTGTGCGAGATCATGCAGAGTGATCCAGGCAGGACTTTCCCATCCTCCGAACCATCACCAAGAAAAAGAACACTTTGATCTGATCTCTGAATTCTAAAACCGTAAAAACCTGCCAAAGTCATGTCAACCCTTAGATTCGCACCTCTTTTCCAAATCTTGTACGTGTCCGAAGGTGCAATCCTTGAAATGAAAGGAATAACAGAACTCTCGAGATTGAACGTAATCTCCATATAAAAGTCTCTCATCCTTCGCATGGTCGCTACCAAACGAGGCAACCTTCTACACCATTTCGCCCATGCCAGAGGCTAATAATGCTTAATAATAATCTTAGCAATGCGCTCTTCCCGGCTGCAAATAGCTTCTTGTAGAGCACTCCACCCTTGTTCATTCTGCAAACTCCAATCTGCACCAACAACCATAAGCATTTCTGCCGTCACTTCATCCCCTAGTTTCACAGCCAAGTGAAGAGGTGTATCACGATTCGGAACATCCCGCCTATCAATCACATCCGCCTTCTCTTCCTCTAAATTCGAAACAACCTCGGATCGAATCTCCGCCATATTACACAGCTTAGGTAAACCCCCAAGTATCTCTTAAGCTCACTATAATCCTTCAGAATTACAGCCTTATGAACAGGACTATGACCAAACTTTGCAACATCAATCCCTGTCATAATCCAATAACCATAATCCTTCAGATATCTATAATTAGTGTACCTGAAATGAAAGCTCTATAAAAAGTTTATCTCTCTAAAAGTAATACGATGTAGTCTACTTGAATTTTACTAATATTATAATATCAGGTTGACATGATAACTACTGCCATTTTTGTGTAGTAGATTTGCAGTATGGAGAAGAAGCATAAGTTGTTACAATGGACACAAGTTTGAGAAGAAGGAGAAGTTACTACAATGAAGAAGAATGAGATAATGTTATAATATAAAAGGTCTTTTAAAAGTCCCACATTAATTTTTATATAAGACATAAAAGTTTTTATAAAACTGAAACAAACACAACAATTCAATTGTGGGTTAGAAAGATGGACAAAAGACATGGGCCAATAACTAAAGGCCAAAAGAGTTTCATTTAAAATTTTGATTAATTAATTAATTATAAAAATTAATAATAAAATATTAATCATTAATTAATTAATTAATTAAAATAATATTAATAATTTAATTATCCTAGGCAATAAAAAAAGTCTTAAATTAATATTTTAAAAATGACCAAAACTAAAATCAAACTCAAAACTTAAAAAAGGGACCAAAATCGTGGTTTTTAAAATAGGGAGACCAAAACTCAAAAAAATACAAAATAGGGGGACAATAGTTGCAATTAAGCCAAACTTAATTAAAGCTATTAATTTCGGTGGCATCAGAGAAGATTGGTTTTGCAGGCTCGGCGGGTAAAAGAAATTGGTAGCGAAATCAATGGTTTTTTAAAACATTTTCTTTCGTGTGCATCTGAATCGTGCGTGTTACACGACGACATTGATCTAGATGGGCGGTTGAATAGATCACTTATTAAAAACAGAGTCGACGCTTATTAATATTTGGTTTTTAAAAAGTTTTAAGCGGAAACGGCAGAGGAACTATATTCGTCTAAACGAACCTTTACCGAAAAGATCAGATATACGCAAAGCCTATATGGAATATGATAAAGACGAGATTTAGAATCAATAATTTGAACACACATCAACCAGATTTTGTTCACTTAAAGTTGGACAGTTTTCAATGTGTGTGAAATATAAACCAATTGAAAAATAGCACAAATGTTTGTGTTCACAAAATGAGTCGAACACTTGGTGTGCGAAGCACCTCAAGTAAATTTCAATATGTGAATGAAGTGCTATGTTCTTCAATTACAATCAAAAGATTGTAATGAGGTTTCTAAAAATGTTTCAGCAATAACACACACTAGAATTTTAATCAACTAATATGTTTGCACACAAACTCAAAATTTAGCAATGAAAATAGTAAAAAGAGAGAACACCAATTTGTTGAGGCAGTTCTCCCGTCGTCCTCTCTCGGGGTACGTCTGTCCTCAATTCTAAAAATAGAATTGAAACTTGTATATATAACTTGTTGCAAAATTTTTTTACAAGAGAAAAATTACAATTCAAACAATCAAACCCA